GCTGAAGTTAGGAGTTGGGAGCTTCATTGGCTCTCCTAAGTGGGTGGCAGGGGCCAAACATTTGTGCCATCTTCAGCTGCTTTTTCTAGGCCCTTAGCAAGGAGCTGGATTGGAAGTGGAGCTGGTGGGGCTAGAACCAGTGCCCATATGAAATGCTGGCACTGTGGGTGGTGGCTTTACCCATTTTGCCACATCGCCTGTCCCTAGACATAGATTTTTTATTTATTTTTTTGACAGGCAGAGTGGACAGTGAGAGAGACAGACAGAGAGAAAGGTCTTCCTTTTCCGTTGGTTCACCCCACAATGGCCGCTGCGGCCGGCGCGCTGTGGCCAGCGCACTGCGTTGATCCGAAGCCAGGAGCCAGGTGCCTCCTCCTGGTCTCCCACGCGGGTGCAGGGCCCAAGTACTTGGGCCATCCTCCGCTGCACTCCTGGGCCACAGCAGAGAGCTGGACTGGAAGAGGAGCAACCGGGATGGAATCTGATGCCCTGACTGGGACTAGAACCCGGGATGCCAGCGCTGCAGGTGGAGGATTAGCCTATTGAGCTGTGGTGCCAGCCCTAAACATAGGTTTTAAATGAATAAAATAATCCAATGTCTGTATTTTGCTTCAAAATAATGGAAACAGACTGAAGGAATTGTGGGGGAGAACAGACTGACTAGTGGACTGGAACTCCTTCATCCATTATCTCTACTTTCATTGAAACAGTCCAGAATAAAAAGTTAATGAATAAATATTTTGTGCTAGTGGACAACTTGCAAAGTTATTACTTCTCGACAGAATTTCTTCCCTAAACTCCAGATTCCTATATTCAACTACTGACTTGACATCTCTAATTGGGTGAATAATATGCACTTCAAACTTAACATGTCCAAAGCCAACGTCCTCATTCTTCACAGAAAACATCCTCTACTTACTGCTTTCCAGTTTCAATTCATGGTGACTTCATCTTTCCAGGCACTTAGGCTAAAGCCTTAGTCCTCTTGGACTCCTTTTTCTCACACCCTTACATCCAGTCAATCAGCAAACAATTCCTCTAAAATACATCTAGAATCTGATCATTTCTCACTACTTCCTTTCTGGAAACTGTAGGATTGTCAGATAAAATGGGACACCCAGTTAAATTTAAATTTCCCAAATGTTACATGACATACTTGTACTAAAAAATGTTTTACCTGAAATTCAAATTTAACTAGGTGTCATCTATTTTCACTTGCCAAATCTGACATCCCTGTTCCACTGTCAGCAGCCTGGATTACTGAAATGCCCTTCTAACCAGTCTCATATTCTGCCCTTGTCCTACTTCAGTCTCTTCTCTATCAGTCAGTTCCATTAACCATGAGTCAGATCACATAATCCTTTTACTCACTCGTCTGCTCATCCCTACTGAGAATACAAGCCAGAATTCTCAGATTGTTTTACAGCATCCTCTGCAATCTCCTCTCAGTCCTGCTCTGCCATCTATACCCAGTCCACACCTCTTAAACTGCATTCCGCTGTTGCTTCTTCTTGCTGGGCACACGTCAGCTTCAAGTCCATTTTGTATGCTGCGCCCTTGATCTGATGCACTCCTCTCTTAGATATCAGCACCATAGGCTGCCCCACCTATATATGATCTCTCAAACTACTCAACATTGTAACCCTTTGTCAATCATCATGACCTTCACTTCGTTTTTCTCCACAGCATATTATCTTTCTAATGCACTATATGTTAATTTGTCTTCTGTTCACAACACACGTCCACGTCTACAGAACACAGTATTATTTAGCTCTTTGAGGATAAGCATTTTTGTCTTTTCTGTTCACTGTTATATTCCGAGAACCCAGAAAATATGCCTGGCACATAGTAGTGCTCAGAAAACATTTGTTAAAGGAGTAAAAGGCCAATAAATTTGCAAACTAAATTAGAACAAGAAAGCAAAACATTTTGAGTAGCCATAGATTTAAAATACATTATTTACAATTATTAGCCTTAAATCCTTAGGACAGAATTATTATAGATTTTAATAAAAGATGTATATGTATGTAAATATGGAATTCATGATTCGTGTTAGCTTCTCTGATAGCTTGAGTTTGTTTCTTCCCTGCATGTACTAACAGAAATTCCTCCTTTTGGGTCAGGTGTTTGGTGCAGCAGCTTATTAGGTTGTCAAGCTTGGAGAGCTTGCATCCCATATTAGAGTGCCTGGCTTGAGCCCCAAATCCTCTACCACCAGTTTAACTTCCTGCTAATGCACTCTGGATGCAGCAAATGATGCTCAAGTACTTGGATCCCTTCCACACACACGGGAGACCTGGATGGAATCCCAGGCTCCTGATTTTGGCCTAGCACAGGCCCAGTAGTTGTGGGCATTTGGGGAGTGAATCAGCAGATGGAAAACTTCTATCTCTATTTCTGCCTTTCAAACAAAGTAAAAATGGAATTTAAAAATAATATTCTTTCTAGAATCTAGATTTAGAATCTATGCAATCACTGAATTGTGATCATTATATTATGCCATCATTACAATACCTAGATGGCAAGTTCTCTATCATCTTCCATCTCCATTTTTGGTGACGAAGGAAAGTAATTTCTATAGCCTGTAGATTGGGGTTTACAATAGTACCCCCTCTTACCCTTGGAGAAATGTTCCAAGTTTTGAGTGGATTACTGAAACCTCAGATAGTACTGACTTATAATTTAGTTACTGTTCTATCTTAGCTAAGTAACTGTCACATACTACAACTGTAAACTTTTGCAGTTTGAGGTGCAAGAGTAATACTACAGTGAATTTCTTTTTTATTCTGCATAATTTCACAGAGAAGATTCATTCTTAATATAGACCTAAACTATGTCAGCACATGAATTTTTTTCTTTCCCAACATCAAGAGCTTTCACCTTCCCACAGAAAATACTTTATGGCTTTTCTTTGGCATGTCTGAATTGACAGTATCACTATTTTTTTGCTGTGGTGCCATCACTGAGTTATACATGGACTAACTGATCTGATAACTTAGTGACTAGTGGGTAGGTAGCATATACAATATGGATCCAACAAAAAGGATGGTTTATATCCTAAGTGAGACAGAACCAGACAAGTGAGAGATTTCATCATGTGACTCAGGCATACAGTTGAAAATCCACCAATTATTTTTTTCTGGAAATTTCCATGTAATATTTTTGGACCATGAGTCACTGAACTCCCAGAAAAAGATTGAAGGGGGACTACTGTAATATCTCCCTGGGTTCTAGAACCTAACGTCTTATTATTATTATTATTTGAAAGACTGAGTTACAGAGAGAGGTAGAGACAGAGAGAGGTCTTCCATCCGATGGTTCACTCCCCAGATGGCTGCAACGGCCAGAGCTGCGCCTGTCCGAAGCCAGGAGCCAGGAGCTTCCTCTGGTCTCCCAGGTGGGTGCAGAGGCCAAGACCTTGGGCCATCTTCACTGCTTTCCCAGGCCATAGTAGAGAGCTGGATTGGAAGAGGAGCAGCCGGGACTAGAATCAGTGCCCATATGTGATGCTGGAGCTTCAGGCCAGGGCTTTTATCTGCTGCATCACAGTGCTGGCCCAAGAGCCTAACTTATTCTTTTTTTTTTAAGATTTTATTTATTTATTTGACAGGTAGAGTTACAGAGAGAGAGACAGAGACAGAGAGACAGAGAAAGGTCTTCCTTCCGTTGGTTCACTCCCCAACTGGCTGCAACGGTCCAAAGCCAGGAACCAGGTGCTTCCTCCTGGTCTCCCATGCAGGTACAGGGGACCAAGCACCTGGGTCATCCTCCACTGCCTTCCCAGGCCACAACAGAGAGCCAGACTGGAAGAGGAGCAGCCGGGACTAGAACTGGCGCCCATATGGAATGCTGGCGCCACAGGCAGAGAATTAACCTACTGCGCCACAGCGCCCACCTCCTAATTTATCAAGTGAGTTTTTAATGTGGTTATAGAAATGTCCATGGTTATAACCTTATTTTTCTCCCCTAGTTAACAAAATTGTGGTAAATACATCATCATTCTCATGAATGTCTAGGGACCATGTGGGGCTTGATGTACTCAGCCTCAGGTTTTTCTGTCTTCTGTGCATTTACCGGTGCACAAATTCCCATAGGGTAGAAAGCCCATCTGCTAAAGCTCTCCTTGAAGATGCTAGTACAACACTAGTAATGGAGAGGCAAAACTCCGAGGTGAACGAAAACATAACTGCACATATTAAAAACACTCAAGGGCAGGCTTGCCCCCTCATAGCACAGCTCCATCCCTCTTAATGCATGAAGGTCCTGGTGTTTGGCAACCCCCTGGGATGTGCCTGAGTTCCAGGCCTGGCTCCATTTCCTGTTAATGAGCACTCTGGAAGGCAGCAGGTGATGGCCCAAATACCCGGGTCCCTGCCACCCGTAAGGGAGACCCGGATGTGGTTCTTAGCTCCTGGCTGTGGCCTGGCCCCAGCATCTGCTGAAGCAGGCATTTGGGGAGTGAAAAAGCAGATGGGAAATCTCTCCCTCACTCTCTCTGCTCTTCAAATAAATATAGGAATTCAATGTTCAATAAATAAAGGAAGTGTGGAAGGGAAGGAACAGTTGCATGCACTCAAGGAAGGCAGGGCCGTGGGCCAGGTGGACACGGAAGGCAGCCAGCGGAGAGGCCGCCCTGAGGGACACGGCGCCGCCCCCAAGCCGCCCGGCGAGGCTCTTCCAAAGACCCGTCCAGCTCCTTTAGTCTCCTCCTGGCCCCCGCCAGGGCCACCTCAGCCAGAGCAGCCCGCTCCCCACCTCCACCTCCGCCTCCAGTCTCGTAGGCGAGACTCTGAGCAGCTAGACTAAATCATTCCGGGGTCTATTCCAGAGACCCCCGGGGGATTTTTCTCTTATCATCAAAGATAAGTCCCAGGGGCCTTCCTGGGGTCCCAGGGGGAGCCGCCAGGCCCAGGAGCGCAGCGCCCCGCGAATCTGAGGAGACCCGCCCTCTGGGGATGAGCGCCGAGGTCGAGTCTCCTTCAGGAACCAGACTTGCCTACCGCCTCAGCGACGGCGGCCAGGAACTCCCGAGCCAGGCGGTGTTCGGGAAACGCCACGAGGCCGTCAGGAGTCTCGAACCCGTCCTTACCACAGCCGCGTTCAGCTCCCCAACTCCGCCCCCGCCCCCGACTCACACCCCTCCCGTCCCGGATTCCAGGTGCCCTCTTCCCGCCTCAGGTGCCACAGCACGCGCGGCCCCGCCCCCAGGGCCCGCTCCGACCAATGGGGACTCCGCCCGGTCCCCGGGGCCCCGCCCCCGCGGCGGCACCCCAGCTAACGGTTTTAACGGTGCTAACGGTTTTAACGGTCCTAACGGTCTTAGCGGTGTTAGCCTTCCGATTCCAGGACCTTCTTCGCCACACAGGCTGCTGCCGCATGCCACACCCAGCCCACGAGCGTCCCCTCGGGATGTGCCCTCATATCCTAGCCCTCACACCTCTCAGGGCAGACACCCTCACTGTCACTACACCCCAGTGCAAGTATGGAAAACAGGGAGGCCCTGAGTCCAAGGAACGGCAAGGAGCCGCCCGTGGGCTGAGGTGATTGATGGGTGCAAGGACAGGGCGCCGGGAGGAGCTGGAAGGGGCGGCTCGGACGGAGACCCCGGACCGAGGCCCAGAAGGAGGAGGGAGCGGAGGCGAGAAGGCATGAGAGGTTTCCGGCATGAGGAGGCTGGAATGGCTCGGGGCAGGGACAGCAGGTGCAGGGCAGGAAGGCTCTGTTTTGCTTCTGATGGTTATAGATGACGTTGAGGGCAATGAAACGGGATAAAGTGGCTGGTGAAAGGAGTATGACAGAAAAGAGATTGGATTGAGCCAGGATGCACACAGCTAGTTTAGGGGCCTGTGAGGTGCGGAGAAAGCAGACGAAAGGCCAGAGAGAGCTGCCAAGGGCCCCGGGAGGGACCGGGAGAGTGAGGTGCCCTGAAAGTACCTCACAGAGGAAGGGGAAATCAGCTGTGACAGACGCTGCTGATGTGTCACGGAGGATTTCACGATTGGTGACCCTGACAGGAGCAGTTTCGGTGGTGTAGTGAGGACCAACATCCGATGGTGTGTGGTTGCAAAGGCCAGGAGGAGCGATTTGGTATATCCATGCAATGGAAAACTACAAGCAATAGAGAGGGATGGCCAACGGATACACAGAATAATAGCGGTAAACCTCAAAATAACTGTGCTGAGGGAAAGCCAGACACAAAAGAACACATACAGTATGGCTTCATTTATATAAGATTCTATATATACATAGATTCTATAATTCAAATTATAGCAACAAAAAGCAGAACAGTGCTTGCCTGAGAGAAATGAGTGTCATAGTAAAGGACTGCCAACGGGCAGAAGGAAATTTAAGGGTGACAGGTAGGTTTACTATATTGATTGTGGTGATGTTTCTAGGTGTATGGTACACATATCTCAAAGAGTATCAAATTGTACACTTTCAATAATATGTTATTTATAGGGTGTTAATCATAGCCATATAAGGCTTTAAAAATAAAAACTGTAGAGTGGGAACCCCATTCTTCCCCTCCCTTGATACCCCATTATGACATTCTCTTTTCTCCCCTCCACAGGTGATTTTTATACTGAGATTGTTTGCTCATCCCTATGCAATACTTTATACTTGATATAGAACATTATTTTGCATGTTTGTTTCATTTTATAAATGGTATACTTTTTTTATACACAGAGAGAGAGGGAGAGACAGAAGGAGAGGTCGTCCATCTGCTGGTCCACTCCCCAAATAGCTACAATGGCTGGGGCTGGGCCAGGCAGAAGCCAAGAGCCAGGAGCTTCTTCTGGGTCTTCCATGTGTATGCAAGGGCCCAAGCACCGGGCCATCCTCCACTGCCCTCCCAGGTGCATTAGCAGGGAGCAAGATTGGAAGTGGAGCAGTCAGGACATGAACTGGCACCCATATGGGATGCTGGTGTTATAGCCCATGGCTTAACTCGCTATGCCACAACACTGGTCCAGTGATATGCTTTTCAAATTTTTTGGAAGGATTATTTATCTGAAAAAACAGCTCTTCCATCTGCTGGTTTACTCTTAAAATGACCATAATAAGTTTCCTTCTACTCCATGCCAAAGCCAGGAGCCAGGAACTCCACCTGGGTCTCCTTCATGGGTGACAAGGGCCCCAAGCACTTGAACCATCTTTTCTGCTGCCTTTCAAAGCACATAAGCAGGGAACTGGATCAGAAGCTGAGGAGCTTCTGATATAGGATGCTGGTGTTGAAAGTGGCAACTTAATCCAATGCACCACCATTCTTGCACCTAAATGATATATTTTGTACATATCTTTTTTACTTATCATCTTTCTGGTTTATCTCTGTGAATTTAGATATCTGTAGCCCATTCAAAGTATTTCATTCTCCAGTGTTTTAGTGGCTATTGTTTATTTTCATCATTTTCCTGTGGGTAAACCCTCAGACTACTCTGTTTTTCCCCCTACACAAGTTGAGCCTCCATAATCCAAAAATCCAAAATCTGAGATGCTCCCAAATCCAAAAGTGTTTTGAGTTCCAACATGGAACATATGTGCAACCAGCAGACGCGAGCTCTGGTTCCCCAAATGCCTGCAGCAGCTCCCCTCACCCTGAGTTGGGACTGAATCTAGGAGGCAGAAACTCAACCCAGGTCCCGCACGTGGATGACTGGAAGCAAACCCTCACCCCAGCGGAACTTTTTTATTTTTAATTTTTTAAAATTTATTTGACAGAGTTACAGACCGAGAGAGAGAGAGAGAGAGAGAGAGAGAGAGAGAGAGAGAGAGAGAAAGGTCTTCCCTCTGTTGGTTCACTCCCCAAATGGCCACCAGGCCAGCCCAGCTGAACTTTTCAATGGCCCATTGTTAGAGGCTGATCGCCACCTTTTTGGTTAGTAAATGGGATGAAGTGTTCGTGTCCCTGTTTTATAAATAAAAGTCAACAATTTGCCCAAAGGAAGCTCAGAATGCTACCATGATGACAAATTTTTGCCTGTTCTTTCTTAAATTCCTCAGTTACACTCTTATTATTCACATGGGCCCTTGTAACATTCATGTGTCCTGACTTTTATTCCCAGTCACCATAAACTTCTAACAGATAAGTGGGCATATAGTCTTACATTAAGAGCCATCAACCCTGTGGCTGGTGCTGTGGTGTAGTGGGTAAAGCTGCCGCCTGCAGTGCTGGTATCCCATATGGGCGCCGGTTCTAGTCCTAGCTGCTCCACTTCCAATCCAGCTCTCTGCTATGGCCTGGGAAAGCAGTGGAAGATGGCCCAAGTCCTTAGGCCCCTGCACCTGCCTGGAAAGACCTGGAGGAAGCTCCTGGCTCCTGGCTTCAGATCGGCGCAGCTCCAGCCCTTGCGGCCAACTGGGGAGTGAACCAGCGGATGGAATACCTCTCTCTCATCTCTCCTTTCTCTGTGTAACTTTGTCTCTGACTTTCAAATAAATAATCTTAAAAAAAAAAAAAAAGGCCGGCGCTGTGGTGCAGCAGGTTAAAGCCCTTGTCTAAAGTGTCAGCATCCCATATGGGTGCTGGTTCTAGTGCCGGTTGCTCCTCTTCCAGTCCGGCTCTCTGCTGTGGCCTGGGAAGGCAGTGGAGGATGGCCCAGGTGCTTGGGCCCCTGCACCCATGTGGAAGACCCGGAAAAAGCTCCTGGCTCCTGGCTTTGTTTTGGCTCAGCTCTGGCCGTTGTGGCCAACTGGGGAGTGAACCAGTGGATGGAGGACCTTTCTCTATGTCTCTACCTCTCTCTGTAACTCTGACTTTCGAATAAATAAAATAAGTATTTTAAAAAGAAAAAGATCCATCAACCCTTTTAACATTCCTTCTGACTCCAAGGATTGCTTTCTAAATTTATATCCCTGGCAGTGTGGTTACCTACAGAAACACACACATGCACACACAGACACATACACCTATGTATGTGTATATATACATATATATATCCCTTGCTGTTTCAGGCATTAGGAGGTGAATCGGTGGAAAGTCTATCTCTTTCCCTCAGTCTATTGTTCTGCCTTTCAAGTAGATGAAAGTAATAAACATTTTTTTAAATGCATAGTTTTTAAAATGCACATCTTGCCTCTGCAGTGTTCTTTAATACTGTATTGGCTGCAAGTCCACTGGACTCCACTGTGGAGCCCTATATCTTTGTAAGGGCTCTCCCAGGCTGTTAGTGCCAAGGAGCAGATTTCTCTCAGAGAAGAAACAGCAACACAGAGGGGCACCAGACTGGCTGCTGCCTCAACAAACAGCAGCATTATGGAGTCACTACCCCCTTGTCACTAAGCAACAAGAAACTGACTTCAGATCTCTATCTTCAGACCTATATAGCCTCAAAAAAAAAAAGAAGAAGAAAAGTTGTCTTTTCTGTTCTCTTCCTGGAAAGATGCAAAGTGCTTTAGTAGGCTCCTGGGTAAGAGTGCACTTTATGGTTTGTGCTGGCGCCTGACCCTGGGGTTGCACCTGAAATCTGAGTGAGTCCTGAGAGTGAAGTAAGAAAAGGTTTCATCCAGGATCCAGGCTGCTGGAGGGCCATGAGCTGCCCGCTTGTCCTCTGCCATCTGAGATCACTCCTGGAGGCTGCCTAATCTTACTGATTGATACTGTTGTGCCCAGATGGTTAGATCCCCGCAGAGACCCCCAGAGAGTCGATCACACCAAACTGCAAAAGCAAGCTTTATTTGGGAGTACAAGCCGCGACAGGGACCCCATCCAACCAACCCGCGCAGCGGAGGAAGGAGTAAGGCCCCGATCTTTGTTTGGGAGAGTTTTTAAAGGAAAAAAGGGCTACATCAGCAGGAAAAAAAGAGTTGCATACAGCATGGAAGATTTGGGTACAGGGAGTTACAGCGGGGGCTTATAGCACCGGAGCTTTGGGTACAGGGAGTTACTTTGTTTAGCAATCTCTCCTGTGCTGTCCTTGGTCTACGGAGCTAGCTGTCCCTGGTAAGCTTTGATATCTCCGGAATGCCTGAATGCCTGCTTTTACAAGGACCCGGGTCTGCTATGGGAAACAGAGGCTGCTTTTTTAATTGTTTTAAAATGGAGTCACTTTGGCTCTTCAATACCATGTCCCCTTCCATGCATCCTGGTGGTCTTCTAGCCAGCTAAACTCATCCTTTAGACACCCCATTTACTCCCCATTCATTGTTTGACATCCACCCAACTTCTGGAGTTTGCTCTCTACTCTGGGAACATCTTGAGGGCAAAGTGTGTATTTCCCATAACCAGCCTCACACCTGGAATACAGTTAAGGTCCAGTAAATACTGTTGAACTAAATGAATAGGGAGCAAGTGATTCTTGACCAACAGTAGGATGGATAGTTTTTAGTGGGATGGAAAGATAAAGGCCTTCCTAATCCTGTTAAGTAGCCTACCGTGGTGGCCAGAGGCCAGGATCAGCATAGTCAGGTTCTTCTACTCGGGGTTATGATTGTCGAGGACCAGACACAATCATCAGGAAAACACAGGACAAAGAGGTTAGGCCATGAGGACACCCTACCAGGTGTTCACCCGACAGTGTAAGTATAGTAGGGCCCCTTCTTGGACTCTAGGTAGGTGCTCATGTCTGTGTTCCACCAGTGCTTCTCTCTGAAATTCTCTCTAGAAGGCATCCTCTGTTGGTGAAATAGTCCTTTCAGAAAGTTTATTCCCTTGCTTGGGTACTCGAAGTTTAGAGGGGTTCTCTCTTCCCTCAGAATAGCAGTGTGTGTATGGCAAATAGGTGCTCACAACTTCATCAATAGATGCAGAAGAAGTGGGGCTTTGCTCTTCAGGGACCTTTGATCACTATTAAAACTGTGGGGAGCATAAAAAAGAGGACATCCTCTTAGGCTCCTTAGGGAAGGACCACACCACCGGTACCTCCCCACCCCCACGCACACATTCCTCCAGGTGGGTCAGCACAGCTGGTGGCAACTGTCCCTATGATAGATGGAAACACCTCCATGCTGGCCCCTCTCCAGGAGTGTCCCTCCTCCTCATATTCTTTATATTCTGTCAGGAACTCCCATGAGGGGATTCTGGCCTGGGTTCCCTGGAACCCTCAAGAGGGGGCCCCCAGATCTGGAACCCAAGCTGGAGGTTTGAGTGTCTGCCTTCTGCCTTCTTATAGCACAACAGTGGCTTCTATGGGCACTACAGAGGACAATTCAAGAATGAAAGTGCTAGAGAATACCGCCTTGCAGCCAAGCCCCAGCCTCCAACAGCATTCCTGCAGCGATGTCAGGTACCAGGCATTCCTGAGGGAAGTGAGGGTGGATGGGTTACTTCCTGCTTTCCCAAGCCCTAAGAGCATCAAACCCAGCCCTTCCTCAGTGGGACTGACACCTGGGACCAGCCCAGCCCTGGGAAAGGCGTGAAGCTTGGCTCTTCTTCTCTGAACTTTCAGATCTCCCTACAGATAGGGTAGAGAAGAGCAGGTGTCAAGCTGGACAGTCCTGCTCACTACCCCTTCTAGAAAAGGAGGGGCGCTGGCATTGTGTCTCAGTGGGTGAAGCTGCTGCTTGTGATGCTGCCCTCCCACGTGAGTGCCAGTTTAGATCCCAGGTGCTCCACTACTAACCCAGCTCCCTGACAATGCACCTGGGAAAGCAATGAGTGACACCTGAGAGCTTCAGTTCCTGCCATCTCTGTGGAAGACCCAGATGGATTTCTGGGCTCCTGGCTTCAGACTGGACCAGCCAGCCATTGCAATCATTTGGGGAGTCAGCCAGCAGATAGAAGATTCTCAGTCCCTCTCCCCTCTCTCCTCTTCTGTCTCTCTCTCCAATCCCTGCTTCTCTATAATTCTGCCTTTCAAGTAAATAAATCTTAAAAAGAAAAAAAAGGAGGAGGCAGAAGGATCAGGGCCCAGGTAGATATGTAGCTATGGGGTGAGAGCCTCTAGAACTCAGGAACTGAGCCTTGAGTTTTGCAGACAACGACCTCCAAGTTCAGAGTCCTTGATGCCTCAAAAGCCAGATGTCCAGCCCACAGCCTTCCTCATAGTCCAGGACTTGAGAATGAGTAGCAGGCTTCCTTTGGTCAGACAGGACAGTAGTGTAGGAGGAGGCTGGGTACTGGCCCACACATCTGGCCAGGGAGGACTGAAAGGAATGATGGCAGAGGTGCCTAAGTAGCTGGAAAAGGCTTCCATAGAACAGGAGAGGGATACAGGACCACTTGCACGTCTAGAGACAAGGAGGAGGCACTGTGTATTATCAGTCAGGGTTCCAACAGTAAAGACATACTCTAAGCAGGAGAACTGAGGGGGGTGTTTGCAAAGGAGTAGGTGTGCAAATCCCTGGAAAAAGTGGTCTTATGTGTTGGTAACTACCAAGTGGTTATTACTGCTGGGCCTAGAGGGACAAGGTGGGAGCAGTGTGGTGAGAGCCACCCTTAGAGGAGTGGAGATGGAGAGTCGTAGCCAGGTGGGAGCTGGCCCAGGAGAAGAAATACCATCTCCTTATTTTCCTCATCTCCTCCCAGAGCTCCCTGGAGACCAGAATGAAGAGAGCCTGGTCTAAAGTACACACAGGTCAGCCTTCTAAGCAAGAACAGGGTGAAGGCAGACACAGAGGACCTGAAGGGGAGCCCAGAACATGCTCCACTCACTGCAGCTTCTTTCTTCCCAGCTTCTTGACAAGTCCTACTTGATTTTCCAAGAATTGTTTTCCTAGACTGAGAGCAGGGTCCTGGAGGTCTGAACTTCCATAGCATGGAAGGACTGCCCTGTACTTCTTAGCAAACACAGCCCAGATGCAGTTGCAGACTGCCCAGCCAGGGCCACCTCCGTTTTTAGAGTGATAGAGTAAAGGCAATGCAGGGCAAGAAGCAACCTGGAGGGGCTGGTACTGTGGCACAGTAGGTTAAAGCATCAGCATCCAGGGCCAGTGCCTGTGATATGCCCATGTGGGCACTCGTCTATGTCCCGGCTGCTCCACTCCCAGTCCAGCTCCCTGCGAATGGCCTGGGTGTGTGGGCCCCTGCCACCCATGTAGGAGACCAGGATGAAGCTCCTGGCTCCTGGCTTCAGCTGGGCCCTGCCCTGGCAGCTGTTCCCATTTGAGGAGTGAACCAACAGATGGAATATCTTTGTCTCTCCCTCTCTGTCTCTAACTCTGTCTTTCAAATAAGTACATAGATCTTTTAAAAAAAAGATTTATTCTATTTATTATTTGAAAAACAGAGTTACAGAGCGAGGTAGAGACAGAGAGAGAGAGAGAGGTCTTCCATCTGCTGATTCACTCGCAGATGGCCGCAACGACCAGAGCTGCGCCAATCTGAAGTCAGGAGCCAGGAGCTTCTTCCAGGTCTCCCGTGTGGGTGCAGGGGCCCGAGAACTTGAGCCATCTTCTACTGCTTTCCTAGGCCATAGCAGAGAGCTGAATCATAAGAACAGCAGCCGGGGTGCCGGCACCGTGGCACAGTAGGTTAATCCTCCACCTGCGGCTCCAGCTTCCCATATGGGCACTGGTTCTAGTCCTGGCTGCTCCACAGCTTTCTGCTGTGGCCTGGGAAAGCAGTAGAGATGGCCCAAGTGCTTGGGCCCCTGCACCTACATGGGAGACCAGAAAGAGGCACCTGGCTCCTGGCTTCTGGCTTCAGATCAGGCACAGGTCTGGCCATTGCAGCCCCCTGGGGAGTGAACCAACGGAAGGAAGATCTTTCTCTTTGTCTCTCCCTCTCACTGTAACTCTACCTCTCAAATAAATAAATAAAATCTTAAAAAAAAAAAAGGCAGAAGAAGAACATCAGCTAGGACTAGAACCGGCACCCATATGAGATGCAGGCACTTCAGGCCAGGGCTTTAACCTGCTGCACCACAGCATGGCCCCAGTACATAAATTTTAAACAAAAGCCTCTTGGGCCTTCTTGCTGCAAGTTTGTAGTTATCCCCTAGTGGCAGCTCTCATTCCAGAGACCAGAAGAACATCCTCTTAATCTGTAAGCTCATCCCCCAGGAGCAGACACGTGGGAGACATATTTTGGCTGTTGGTCAAAGTAAAACGTTTCTACAAAAAGAATCTACAAGCACTGTCAACATCTCCAAATATCCTGCTCAGTGTGTCTTGGGCTCAGGTTGTGTAAATGTCAAGTCTCATGGCTCTTTCTGGATCCTAAAGCTGTTTTAATTAAAGGAACTGCTCAGGAAAAGTGCACGTTATATTTCCTCGTTGGCTGAGAGGCACCAGCCTTTAGCTGCCTGATGGTGCTATTGCTGCTTAAGCCTTTCCAAGATACGGCATCCATTTTCCTTTAGTGCAAGCAGCAGGCACAAATTCTGTCAAGACATCCAGATGCAAGGACATTCTTTTCTCTCCGTTTTCATTTTTCCTCTGAACCAGACTAGTCTATTCTAGTCATCACCTGCTTGAGTCTTGGAAAGTGTGACCATGGTCCTGTCCATTCCTAAGGGCAGACAAGAGTCCTAGACGCTCCTAGCCACGGTCTGCTCCTTTGTATGTGGTCCCCTGCTGCTGCCCCAAGCCTCAGCCTGCCGCAGAGGAGCCTCTCTCAGCACTGCACTGAGCCTCCACAGGGCCCTCAGCTCTCCCACATGTGAATCCTGCCCTCTCCTTCAAGGCCTCTTAGGGTGGAAGTCCTGCCTGGGTACCACCTGCTCAGAGACCCCTTGGTGGGAAAGGAGCTCAAAATGGTTGAGAAATAAAGATTTGGGTGATCGTTCTCCTCAAGGGGAAAAAAGTGCCCAGAACTGCCTGGGTGGAGAGGAAATGACTGCTCTTCTCACCACACTCCCACAGTCGTGAGAACAAAACTCAAATCAGTGGGAGTCAATAGATGATCCTGCCACTGTAGGAATAATGAGTTTCCAGAGTAGGAGCTGCCTCCAACAACACAGGCATCCACACTCCAGGGCTGTGTACAGTTCTGTAGCTGAAGATAGAAATGGGGACGTGGGGCCGGTGTTTGGCACAGCAGTTAAGTCGCCACTTGGGACGTCTGCATCCCATCTTGAAGTACCTGGTTCTTGTCTCAGCTCCTCCACTTCCAATCCAGTTTCCTGGGAGACAGCAGGTACTTCAGTGCCTGCCACTCACCTGGGAGTCCCAGGTTGGGTTTCAGGCTCCTGTCCTTGGCCTGGTACAGCTTTGTCTGTGGCAGATATTTTGGGACTGACCCAGAAGATGAAAGGTCACTTTCTTTGTCCCTCGCCTTTCAGGTAAAATGAAAATAAATAAATTTTTTTAAAGGTGAAGAAATTTGGGGGTCAATTGAAACTTTTTCTAGGTGCCCCAACTTTTTTAAGCATTTCAGAGAGAGAGAGAGAAAGGCCGGCACTGTGGTGTAGCAGGCAAAACCACCGCCTGCAGTGCCGGCATCCCATATGGGTGCTAGTTTGAGTCCCGGCTGCTCCACTTCCAATCCAGCTCTCTGCTGTGGCCTGGGAAAGCAGAGGAAGATGGCCCAAGTCCTTGTGCCCCTGCACCTGCATGGGAGACCCGGAGGAAGCTCCTGGCTCCAGATTGGTGCAGCTCCGGCCGTTGCAGTCATCTAGGGAGTGAACCATAGGATGGAAGACCTCTCTCTCTCTGCCTCTCCTCTCTCTGTAACTCTGACTTTCAAATAAATAAATACATCTTTAAAAAGAGAGATAGAGAGAGATTGATTGAGAGATTATCTTCTGCTAGTTCACTTCCTAAATGCCCACAGGAGCCATGGCTGTGCTGGTGCTGAAGCCAGAAGCCTGGAACTCAACCCAGTTCTCCCATGAGAGTGGCAAAGACTCGATTATTTGAGACATAACTGCTCCCTCAAAGGGTCCACCTTGTCGAGAAGCTAGACTCAGGAGTCCGAGCCAGGAATCAAATCCAGTATTCCAATATGCCACATGGGCATCTTTTTTAAAAATATTTTCTTTTAAATATTTATTTATTTATTTGAAAAGCAGAGTGTAGAGAAAGAATAAAAAAGAGAGGAGGAGGGAGGGGGAGAGGGGGAGAGTGAGCGATAGAAAGATCTTCCATCTTCTGGTTCACTCTCTAAATCTCCAAATGGCTGTAACAGCCAGGTCTGGGCCAGGCTGAAGCCAGAAGCCAAGAACTGCATCTTGGTCTCACACATGGGTGGCAGGAACATTAGTACTTGGGCTGTCTTCTGTTGCCTTCCCAGGTGTGTTAGCAAGAAGCTAGATCAGAAGTGAAGTGGCCTGTACTCAAACCCACGCTCCAATCTGGAATGCCAGTATCACAAGAGGGTTTCTTTTTTTTCTTTTCTTTTTTTTTTTTTTTTTTATAGGCAGAGTGGACAGTGAGACAGAGAGACAGAGAGAAAGGTCTTCCTTTGCCATTGGTTCACCCTCCAATGGCTGCCGCGGCCAGCGCTGCGGCCGGCGCACCGTGCTGATCAGATGGCAGGAGCCAGGTACTTCTCCTGGTCTCCCATGGGGTGCAGGGCCCAAGCACTTGGGCCATCCTCCACTGTACTCCCTGGCCACAGCAGAGAGCTGGCCTGGAAGAGGGCAACTGGGACAGAATCCGGTGCCCCGACCGGGACTAGAACCCAGTGTGCCGGCGCCACAAGGCGGAGGATTAGCCTAGTGAGCCGTGGCGTCAGCCCACAAGAGGGTCTTAACCTGCTGTGCCACAAAGACAACACCTCAATGCCCACTCACTTGGAAGTATTTTCATTTATTTTTCTTTACACACTTTAAAAAATGTTTTTAAAATTTATTTGAAAAGCAGAAAGGCAGGGACATATAAACAGATCTTCCATCTGCTAGTTCCTTCCCTAAATGGCTGCAACAACTGGGACTGGGCAGGGCTGAAACCAGGAGCTCAGAACTCCATCCAGTTCTTCCACAGAGGCGGCAGGCACGCAACTACTTGAGCTATTACCTGCCGCCATCTGATGCACATTAGCAGGAAACTGCAGCCAGGACATGAGCCCAAGTACTCTGATGTGGGATGTAGACATTCTGACCTGCATCTTAACGACTTTCTCAAACACCTGTCACAGATTTTTTTTATAATTGATACTTGTATTGAGATGAATATAGATTCTTAAGAAATTGTAAGTGATAAGATCCTTTTTATACTTTGCCCAATTTCCCCAAATGGTTACATTTTTCAGAGATACAGAATTATATCACAACCAAGACACTGACACTTATGCCACTACCAGTCTCATTCAGGTGATCTCGGTTTTATTTGTACTGTGTGTGTGTGTGTTGTGTATGTTAAGATCTATAAAATGTTTCTGCTGGTGTTTCCATCAGCACAGTCTAGGTACTGGCCAACAAGAATCCCTGTACTGTCGTTTTATCACCATACCCACTTGCCTTCCACCCCTCTACTTCTCTCATACCTAACCAACAATATTTCTTCCATTTCTTTTTTTTTAAGATTTTATTTATTTATTTGAGAGGTAGAATTACAACAGTGAGAGGGAGAGACAGAGAGAAAGGTCTTCTGTCCGTTGGTTCACTCCCAAAAAGGCTGCAATGGCCGGAGCTGAGCTAATCCGAAGCCAGGATCCAGGTGCTTCTTCCTGGTCTCCCATGCAGGTGCAGGGGCCCAAGGACTTGGGCCATCTTCTACTGCTTTCTCAGGACATAGTAGAGGGCTGGATGGGAAGAGGAGCAGCCAGGACTAGAACTGGCGCCCATATGGGATGCCGGCACTGCAGGCAGAGGATTACTGCACCAAGGCACTGCCCCCCCCCCCCTTTTTAAGATTTTCTTTATTTGGGAGGTAGAATTACAGTGAGAGGGAGAGACAGAGAGAAAGGTCTTCCCTCTGCTGGTCCACTCCCCTAATGGCTGCAACAGCCACAGCTGTGCCAATCCAAGGCCAGGAACCAGGAGCCTCTCCAGGGTCTCCCATGTGGGTGCAGGGGTCCAAGCACTTGGGCCATCTTCTACTGCTTTCCCAGGCCATAGCAGAGAACTGGATTGGAAGAGGAGCAGCCAGGACTTGAACCGGCGCCCATATGGGATGCCGGCACTGCAGGTGGAGGACTAATCTACTGCACTGCAGTGCCAGCCGCTCCTCCATTTCTTAACTTTTGCCACTGAAATATGTTATTTAAACAGAATAATACAGTATGAAATCTTTGGATATTGGCTTTTCATGCTCAGCATGATTTCATCCAAGTTATGTGTATCAATAGTTGATTTCTTTTCCTGACTGAGCAGCAGTTCATGGCATGTATGTACCAGTTTGTTTAACAATTTTCTTCTTGAGGATATCTGGACTGATTTCAGTATTTGATTCTTACTAATAAAGCTGATAGCAATATTTGTGTGCAGGCTTTTAGGTAAACATAGTTTTCATTTCTCTGGGGTAAGTGTCTAGGAGTATGATTATTAGGATATATGACAGTTGTATTTTTTTAAGAAACTGACAAATTGTTTTCCAGAGTGGTTGTACTATATTACATCCCTACCAGCAATGTATAAGTGGTCCAGTTTCTCTGCATTCTTGCTAATATTTGGTATTATCCATATTTTAATTTTAGTCATCTTGATAAATAAGTGGTGACATCTCTTGTGGTTTAAACTTGCATTTCCCTAATATTTAATGTTGAACGTCTTTCTGTGTATTATTTGCCATCTACATATCCTTTTTGGTGAAATGTCTTCATGTTGCTTGCCCATTTTCTAATTAGATTGTTGCTTTGCTGTTGTTAGAATTCTTCATATATTCTAGATACTAATATTGGTTGGATATGTGATTGGTAAATATTTTCTGCAATTCTGTAGCTTTTCAGCCTCTTTACATAGACTTTTAAACTTTTGATGAGGATGAGGTCCAATTTATTTATTCTTTTATGTCTCTTGCTTTGCTGTCAAGTCTAAGAACTCTGTCCAGCTCAAGATCCTGAAGATTTTCTAAGTTTTTTTTTTTTCCCTAAATGAGCCCTGGGATTTTAATCCCCATTGTATATGGAGCTTATGTTCTAACAGAAGATATCAGAAAATAGGCAATATTAGAATACAAAATCATACGGTGTGTGAGGTGGTGGAAAATGTGGAGTTGGGACTCTTGACCCAGTATGCAAGGAAGGCCTCTCAAGAGGAAGGAGGGAATTATCTGTGTGCCCAGCAGAAGGAATGAGTGGTGCAGAGGCCCGAGGCGGGAGTGCCCGGCACAGCTGAGGACCAGTGAGGCCAGTGTGGTTGCTGATAACAGAAGGACCAATATCATGTGGGTCTCATGGACCAGGTTGATGGCTTTGATTATCATAAACATGAACTACTGTGGATTTTTGGCAAATAAGATTTACTAAAAGATTATTTAGGCTGCCAAGAGAACAATAGATTGGGGAGGCAAGATCGAAACTAGAGACTAGGCATGAAGCTTCTGCAATAATTTACACAAGAGAGAAAGATGGCTTGGAACTGGGAATGCAGGAGGCATGCCGAGGAGTGGTCTGATCCTGGAGATGTGTTTGATGCAATCCCTGGTGTATTAACTGTGGGATATGAGCGAAGAGAGTCCAGGGGACTCTGCAGTGTTTGACAGGATCTAGCTGCCATGGCCCGAGCTGGCAGAGACTGTGAATAGACGGGTTTGAGGATGATCCAAAGCTCAGTCCTGTGTTTGGAGACCTCCTGTTGGACATTTACGTGGAGATCTGAAGTAGGAAGTTGACTAATGAGTCTGGAGTTCAGGAAAGAATTTCAGCCAGGGACAGAAATTTGTTTCCAGATGTTATTTAAGGCCAAGAGATTGGGTGTGCTGACAGGGAGTGCGGACAGAGGGGAGAAGGAGACTGAAGCCTTGTTGTGGGCAATCTGAATGCTAAAGGGCCCAGTGCGAAGCTTGAACCCCTGCCCCTCTGATGGCAAGATGTCCTGGTAGAAGCCTCAGCCCTCTTCCCAATCTCCCAAGTTGCAGAGGCTTCTGTTTGAGGGCAAGTGCCAGGATGAGATGTCCCTGGAACGAGGTGTTGCTTCAGTTTGCCTTGGCCCTTTCAGAGTGTTGATGGTTTAGCGGCTCAGGGATGGTGGTGGCTCCAGGTAGTTTCCCTCTGTCACGGGCCCTGAGGTAACATCTGGAGGACCTAACTGTCCCCACCCACCTTCTTTGTCACTGTTTTTCAAGGAGCCAGTGCAGCAGCATTTCTTCTCCAAGCACGACAATCGCACATCCTTCGACAAAGTGAGTGTTGGAAAGAGGAAAGGAAGCGGCCGGCCCCCCAGCCTAGTTGAAGTGGAAGACGGAGCAGGTGGCAGAATGGATAAGACCTTGAGGGGAGGGAGGGCTGCTTACGCAGGCAGAGGAGTACCTATCTTCTCACCACCTTTCTCCTCTGAGAAACAGTTCATTCCCCAGATGCCCTCTGCAGTGGTTTCCTCTGCCAGCTGCCCTGACCAGGTGCAAATATCCTGGGGGTCACTGACCTTCTAAGAGCTTTTCATGTTGGAATGGATGGCACCTCTGGGGAGGCAAACCAAGGAGGCCAGGGTATGTATCGGGGAAGCCAAGCACAGGCCAGGCATCACCAAGCAGACGTGAGTTTAGGTGGGGCCCAAGTGGGTGTCTGGTGCCAAGACTGTGGGCCAAGGGCCCGTACCGTTGAGGAGGGCCCCTACTGCCTGCTGCAGGGAATCGGAAGACGGAAAGACCTGCAGCGCCTGTGGCAGCGGCACACCTTCCTGCGCTGGGCACCCTGTGAGCTGGAGCTGAGCAAGCAGCAGCCCCTGGAATCTTCCTACCAGTCTGATTTCCGGACAGGCCCAGGACTTTGTGGTCAACCCCAGCGCCTCGTCCACTTTGTGCAGGTCCGGCCTCCACATGTCAGCACCACCTACCAACAGAACTTCTGCCAGCCATCGCTGGGCGGCCACTGTGGCACCAACAAGGTAGGGACCCAGGCATCAGTCGCTGACACACTGCCCGACCTCCCGGGGATCCCAAGACCCAAGCTGCTGCAGCACTACATTCATGCTGGGGTCTCTGAGTGTCTAAACTGGTCCCGAGCATTAAAGGACTGTTAACACAGGAGTCTCTCTGTACTCACAGCTCAACCGAAGAATGGTGGTGTGCAGCCAGGCCCTACACCTGGTTCCTATGGCACTTGCCCATGGTGTCTGTATGCCGTGCAGGAGAGGTGCTGTCCTGGAAGCCTGCCACTAAGTAAGAAAGGGTTAAGGACTGCAGGAAGCTTAGAGTCCAGGAGGCTTGCTGTGAACACAAGAGGCAGGTTCCAGAGATCCAAATACTTCTCCCTTCTTGCAGCAAGCCCAGCTGCGGGACCTCGTTTGGTGTAGCTGCAAGGGAAGTGGAGCCAAAGGCCCCTTCTAGTGGGCAGCAAAGGCTGGAGGGAGGGGCAAGGGGCTAGCAGCTTCTTCCAGAAGGCTGCTGTTCTTGAGGAGTTTGTTGGGTAGGGACATTGTCCTGCCCAAGAGATGGCTGCTCCACAGCTGGGACAGAGAGACTCTGCCCTGGCTCCCGTGGGTCATGCATCTTTGTAGAGGGGAGGGCAAGGGCTTTGAGGAGCCCCTGTGTGACTTGGACCTAGAGGTCATCTTAACACCATGGGATTTGTTACAGTTTTCTTTAAGATTATTCTATTTAATTGAAAGGCTGAGAGTTATCGGGAAAGAGAGAGATCTTCCATCAGCTAGTTCACTCCCTATGTGCCCTAGATGGTCGTCAGGGCAGGGCCAGGCCAAAGCCAGAATCCAGGAACTCCATCTGTGTCTCACACGTGGGTGGCAGGGACCCAAGCACTTGGGCCATCTTCTGCTGCCCTCCCAGGTGCATTGGCTGGAAGCTAGATCCAAAGCAGAGCAGGACTAGAACCTGGCCTAACTCGCTTTACCACAGTGCAGGCCTTTGTTTTCTGAGCTCTTCTTTTGGCAAACTAATGGTGCTCCCTAACATCCGGAACAATAGAAGAGAGCAGTCGCCCCGTGTCACTAAAGGCAAAGCTGCGGAGACACAAGGTCATTTTGGGGGACAGAGGCCAGATCCAAGAAGCACCCCTGGACTTTCATCCCTGGGAGAGCTGAGGCCCCCAGAGGGCCTGGGCGGGCAGAGGCCGTGGGGTCAACTTGGAAGTCTATACCAAGAGCCACACAGCAGATTTTAGCAGTGCTTTTACTTCCGTATCCAAACTCCCTTGGTCCTCACAACAGCCCTGTGAGGTAGGTAGGGCAGGAAGGTTTCACAGATCCCCATTGACAGATGAGGATGCTGAGGCACAGAGAGGTGAAATGACTTGCCCAAGGTCATATTACCAGTAATGTAGAGGGCCCGAAGCCAGCCTTCCTCTGGCCCTCTGCCGGTCCCCACATTTTCTCCTATATCCCCTCTGTGTCCTCCACCCTCTCTGAACACTCCTGGGTCTACTGGAACCCTCGTGGTAGGCTGGCAGCCAGGATAGGCCAGATCAACTCCAGATAGGCACTGACCTTGCAGAGCACAAGGCTAGCTCACCCTCTCCCAACATCCCAGTTGGACAGAAGACCTACTAGGTTCTAGGGCAAGGACAGAGCTAGGCATGGTCCGTGAATGAATAGTGCTAAAGGTGGGTGTGAGCACACGTGTGCCGTGCAAGAAAGACAAAGGCTCCCTGAACCCAAGTCCCCCAAGGCCATGTCTCAAGTGCCTACCCCTGTGCCTCCCTATCCCACAGAGCCACAGTGAGCTCCCTCGGCAGCAAAAGGAGCCACAGACGTCTGCCTCTGGCACTGAGCTACCCCACTGGACAGGTCTCACCAGGCTTCAGACTCCATCCCGCAGACACAGTGCCTCCACAGCTTGACTGGGGCCCTGGGCTACACCCCCAATGACAAACAGCCGGGGTCCAGCCTGTAGGCTAGAGCAAGAGCAGCGGGCCGTGGGCATGGCAGGCAGTGCCTCCCAGCGCCGCCGTGTAAGACTGAAGCTCTCCACAGAGCCCAGAGGGCACGGCTGGTTTCCTGCAAGGAGACAGAAAGTTGTAAGGGGCTCCAGATCCTTTTGCTCCCTGGGCCCAGAGAATGGCCCTGTAGTTATCACCCCAGGCTGAGCTATTGGTGCCTTGCTCCTTCCTTCATTCATTGTCCATTTAACCATGCTTTCAGTGGTCATTTGTCCAGCTTCTGCCTCCTAGGCCCCTGCTGTGGGACTCCAGCTGGGCCAGGCAGATCATACCCTGCCTGCTTCCTGGATGGGCAAATGAAACTCACAAAACCTGACCCTTGGCTGGTGTTTCCTGTCTTGAGCACCCCCACCCCCAGTCCTACAGAGACTTACCCAGGCCCCCGATGGCCACAATGTGGCCCCCAAGGCTGCCAACAACAAAGTCGGCCCTCTTATCCCTCATGCGAAGGCTGCGGGGCAACTTAGTCCAGGACCCTGGCAGGAGCAAGAAAGGAGGTCAGATCTCATCACACACTATGCCCCTTCCTCACACGGAAAATGGGAGGACAGCCCAGGACAGCCACTGCTTACCATGCTCCAGGTCAAACATCTCCACAGTGTTGACAAAATGTGGGCGGGAGTAGAAATTGTGGGGTCCAGGTTGCTGCAGGCCACCCAGGCTAAAGACGTTACCTTCGGCCATGGCACAACCAGCAAAGGCCCGGCGGCTGGGCAGGCTTGGGTGCCGGGTCCAGGTACGGGCCTCCAGATCAAAGGCTTCAAAAGCAGTCACCGGAAGCTTGCCCTGGCGGCCCCCTGTCAAAGGAATTGGGATAGCCAGGAGGGAGTCTGGGGGCTTGGTTGGTCCCTCCCTCACTAGGTTGCTGATCTGCCGGCTCCAGCTTCCACACCCAGCTTTGTGCACACGCATTCATGCTTCATCCACTCCACAGATCCACAGGCAACTAAGGTTTTGCTTTCCAGCCCCAGGGTAGCCGCCAGATGTCAGAGCCTCAGAGCACACCTGATCTCCCCAGTGACGCTTCTCAAGTCTTGCCATCCTAAACCAAGCTTGATCCCCACTCTAGCCAACCTATGGGGACAGGAACTTCTGGACTCTGAGCTGCTCTCCCACACCGCTCCCCCCGCCCAGTCCCTTACCCAGAACATAGATCTTGTTCCCATGCAGGAAGGTGGAGGCCCCGTAGCAGGGTGTGGGCATGGAAGGTAGCGAAAGCCAGCAGTCCCGGCGAGGCTCATACACCCGTACCTGGGCCTGGGGGGCCGTGTCAGGACCCATTCCCCCTAGAGCATATACCATACCATCTGTATAGAAAAGAAGTAATTCAGATTATACTCAAGTCTGGCCAGAGCTCCCTGTTCTGACAGCTCCCCTGGTCAGGCCTGGGGTAAGTGGAGACCTGTAAGTCTGCTGGAAATCCTGCTGGCTGCCGGTCTGCAATGGGGGCTGGGATAGCTGGGATTCCCGCTCTGGCCAGGGCCCCTCAGAGTGAAGAGCAGGAGGCAGCTGATCTAATTATAATCCATCTCCGTCTCCCTGGAGATGCTATGGCAACCGAGTCTGGCATCCAAGCAGGGCTGGCCTGGACCGGTGGTCAGACCTAGAGGCCACGAGGTGGGGGCTCCCCAGGAGGAAGAGGTTAGGGGGTGGCTCGAGCCAGGGGCATGGGCCATGTGGGAATCTCTCAGTATGAAGCTCAGTCTGGAGAGGGCGCTCAAGGGATCAGCTGGAAGTGGGAGTGGGGCTGGGAGAGGGCCTTGGGCCTGCAGGGTAGAGGTACTGGTCACAAGCCTTTGGGCCCAGATGTCGTCCTAGCACCACCACACCGAACCCTTTCACTAGAGTAAGTGCTTGCCTTCTGTCAGACTCTCAGGGTCAGCTAGGGGCATGTCAGGGGGTCTTTGTGGTGATGAGCCAGTCAGCCAAGGGCTTCCATGGCAACCATTCCCATGTCAGGCTGGCCTTTGTCCACATCAGGATTCCTGGCGCGTGCGCGTGCGTGTGTGTGTGTGTGTGTGTGTGTAGGGAGGGCAGTCTAAGCACTTTCCAGGCTCTGAGCCAAGGCCCCGCTCCCCTCCCCCACTCCAGACTATTTATAACCATGCGTGTCACTAGGCCACCCCCACCACTCAGAAATGAGGAATGGGACGGGGAGTTCGCTGGGCCTCCTATCATCTTGAGGCCAACCTGAGCTCCGCCACCCACCTCACTGCCAGAAAGACAATTAACAGAAACTGCTGCAAGCCCAGCATAGAGTAGCTTGGAGAGGATACAGGAGGCAAGGCAACCGTACTGGAGGCAGGGCACCCATGCGAAAGTGACAGTTCTCATCTGATCGCTGAGGGTGAGGGACCAAGTCAGGAGGGGAGGAGGGTGTCGGGGCACTAGAGGGACCCTGAGAGGCCACTCACCTCTCTCCACAGTTGCAACCCCCATGGCTGCTTGAGGGAGGGTGGCCCGGCGCTCCCAGCGGCCCTCATCAACCAGGAAGGCCTCCACAGCAGCTACTGGGCTCTGGGCCTCATCCACGCCGCCCACCACCAGTACCTGCTTGCCCAGAACCACAGCAGCTGCACCCGCCCGGGCAGTGGGCAGGGGCGCCAGTGCCAGCCATGTGTGCGAGGCCATGTCCAGTGTCTCAGCGGTGTCCAGGGGTAGTCCAGTCCGCCCACAGCCCCCCAGCACCAGCAGGTGTCCATCCTGGTGTGCCACTGTGCCGTACACCCGGCAGGTGGGCATGGGGGGGAACACCTGCCAAGCAAAGGCCCGGCCACCTCCTGCAGCCATGTCTCTCACTGCCAGTGGCAGGCCATGCTATCTGCTCAGGCTGCAGGCCTCACTGAGGCGCCACCATAGGGGCTCATCTTGCTTCCACCAGAGTTGCAAGAGGGAGTCTAACCAGTCCAGAGACCTCGCCTTCACCTGCAGAAGAGAGCAAGAACTAGGGTCAGGGCCGCTGATCAGCCCCTCAGCAAATATGAGCAGCCTGCAGCTGAGGGCAGGGCCGGCTCGAAATCTCTGGTGTGAAAGGTAAGGGGGAGGACCCACTGCTTTGGCTAGGGTAACATCAGGGCGGCCCTCCTGGAGCTGGAGGGAGGCGGGACCCTAGACACCGAGCATCTGCCTACGAAGACTGCCCCGGGGAGTCTCTTCCACTCCCCTGCCCTGATGCCCAGGAGTAGCTCGGTCACATCCTGTCTGGGTGGGAGGCACGGTGACTGGAACAGGACTTTCCATCCCAGCACCCTTCTACGTGAAAGGAGACCTACTGTAGCCTCCCCTGACTGGTTTGCAGCAGTGCCTGGGCAGCCTGGGACCAGCCTTCAGGCCCCTCACCCGCTGTCGAGGCCAGACCCCAGGGAATCCTCACAACACCCTCGGAGGCCATTCCACAGGGTTCTGCCACTCCCACCAGCAACCAGCCAGAGCCCGCGATCAATGGAACAGGGGAGCTGGACGCCAGGGTTCCACATTTCCCTGAGGTCCACCCTCAGGGGTTTGTCCAGGCCATCAGGCTCCAGGGTGTCCAGAAGGAGGGGGGCTTGCAGGGGAAGCTCATGAGCCCCGACTCTAAGGTCCCGGAGTCAGGGGCGTTTCCCGCAGCAGTGAGCAGCTGGCAGCTGGGCTCTGGGAACCCGCACAGCCGATCACCTGTGTTCTTCAGCCTCCCCTTTCCCACGAGGGCTCCACTCCTGGACCCTTGGCAGGGGGGGGACCTCCTGGCCCCAAACTTCCAGCTCGAGGAGGGGGGGCGGGTCTGGGTGAACGCGCTTGAGGCTCTACGCCCCACGCCCCAAACTTCCCCCGAGCTCGGCTCCCGCGGGACTCACCGGCAGGGGCTCCGGTGTCGCCGGGGCGCGGGGCCCGCCGTTCCGCCTCCGCTGACGCCGGCTCTGGTTAGGGCTGAAGCCGGGCTCCGGCGGGGCTCCCGCAAGGCTCCGGCGGGGCTCCCGCAAGGCTCCGGCGCGGGGCGGGGCTGGGCCGGGCCCGCCCCTCGCCCCCCCACCCCGACTCGGGGAGACCTCCTCCCGCCTTAACCCTGCACGTACCGTGGCCGGGGCAGGGCGCGCCAATCCATGGTGGCACACAAAGGTACAGACAAACGGACATGTGGACAGCGGGCCTGCCAGGATTTAAGATCCGGGCTCAGGCGCGGGTAGAAATGAGGCAGCAGTGAGCGGCACAATATGTGTATAGCGAGGGGGGCGTCGTTCTGAGCCAGACCTGGCCTGGGCGTGCAGGCCCTGGAGTCCTGCTGCGGAAGCTGTTGGGGGGTGGGGTGGGGGGTTGAGGAGCAGTCGCCCTCCCACCGTCGCTGAGCTCTAAGGAGCCAGAAGAAGGACTCCGCGGCGGCGCCCCCTGGAGGCCGCTGGGGACGTGGCCCGGGCCTTTGATGGGGAAGGAGGACTGGGCAGCCCTTACCCGACTGCCAAGCAAGGCGCAGGATAGGTTCTGTAGCGAGCTTTGAGGCTGCTGGGAGGACGGAGTGGAACACAGTACCGGCCTCAGGGTCTTTGTACAGGCCTTGGAGAGAAGGGTCGCTCTGAAAAAGGGCCAGGGAAGAGCCAGAGGCCAGGGAACCTGCCACATGGGCACCTTGGCCTTAGGCCTGGGCTACCCTGGGGCTCAAGGCACTTTATGACTTCCACCCCCACCATCCTGGGCCTGCCTGTAGCCAACTCAGGGATCAGGCAAGAACAGACTGGTGTGAAAAGGGCTCAGCACACCTCCCGGGCACTCAAACTGTCAGCTGAGGTTTCTAGCTGGGCCCAAGGATACCTGCCGGAAGAAGTCCTTGCAGCTGTCTTTGCTCACTGCTGTGATGCCTTTCACGTCCAAAGCAGACACGGAGACAAAGATACAAGCGCATGTGTTTAGTGTGGAGGATGAGGCCAGAAGTTCCAGTGGAGGGGCAGCAAGGAGACAGCAGGCAATGAAGGAGGTGTCTGTTGTCCAGTGAGGTGCCGCTGCCAGCAGCCAGGGACAGATCCTAGGCACCAGCACAGAACATGGACCTCACGTGATCGCTGCTCCCCAGAGCAAGGGAGCTGAAGTACGCATTCTCAACTCCTGATCAGCTGTGTGGGGGCATTAACATTCTGGCCTGCGTGACTTCTTTGTGGCCTCCCAGAGAAAGCCGTCAGCCCTTTCAGGGGCCAGCAGAGTCAGAGGGCAACATAGGGTCGGTTGTGTCAGGGCTCCTCACAGACTGCAGGGATCCCCAACTGGAGGGCCTCGATCCTCCCACTCTACTTCACTCCCAACCTGCACCTCACCTGGGGCACTGGTGCCACCCCCAACACAGTGCTCACACCACCAGAAGACCCTCTAACATTGACCCAAACCTCCTCCCATTCCTTTCCAGTAATCAGGCACTTACAAACGCCCAGGCCCCTATAGTTTCCCTGACCAAATTCTTGAAGCCTTCTGTCTTCACAGGCCCCACTGCTTATTCATCTGCCGTGTTCGTCTGTTGTCACTGCTTCCCCAAAATCGCTCTTAGCCATGGAACACCATAAAGCTAAAACCAGGGATCCCTATTTGTCCTCAACTGAAATCTTGCTGGTATTTTCAAAAATATACTCCTGATGGCCTTAGCTTCCTCCTGCTGCTTTTTTGCTTTTTATGTGCGCTTCCTCCTCTCCCTCCCCAGGGGGCAGCCTTTCTTCCTGGCAATCCTACACAGGACACTGCCTTCATTTACAACTAGATTTCCACCACTTCTCTATGCTTAGGTGGATGTGGTCTAGGGTCCACTTGGACCATATAAGATGCCAAATGGGAAGCAAGGGTTGGATCCTGAGTTCACCTTATAGTCTCTCCGCCTCGTGCTCTCTGATCCCAGTTACGCCTGTAGGTTCAACATCCACCAAAGTCAAGTTAGACTGTGCTCTGATGAATGCTCCCAGAGAATTCCATTTGGAACATACTGAGCACCAGGAGGCAGAAGGTTCAACATCCCCTCAGGGAGTGATGTACCGCCCCCCTTGAACCCTAATTCCTACCTCAAGTATCTGGAAGGGAAAGACAGGATATGGATCCGCTTTCCTGGGCCTCCATTTTACTCTGACCACTGGACTTGAGATCACCAGAGAGGAATCTCCTTTCCAGGACACGCTGCCTCTTGGTGGAAGTGACTTCTGTTTTCATAGCCCCAGCCCACCTGCACACAGGTGCTGGCCTTGGAAAAGTTGCAAGACAACTGGGGTAGGTGAGGTTGGATTTGTCCTGATAGTAGGTAGCCAGTCCTCACCCATGGACAAGGCTAGAGATAGGGCTCATCCATAGTTAAGGAGGAGGCGTGCCAAGGAGGAGCTTCTGATTATAGCTCATGCAACTCTGCTTGAAGCCCCCACCCAACCCTTCCCTATGCCAGGACAAGTGGCTGGGAGCACTGACCCCATCAAGAGATTTTGCTATTCCTACTGCATAATTTGGCTCTACTTGAAGGTAACAAGGGCCCCACCATCAGTGCTAAGACCGTGGGAAGCTTAGGGGCACCAAATGAGGCCTAGAGTATGCCCCCACTCTCCAACTTATTACAGTCCATAGGCTTCTACCTTCCTGTATTACCAACTATGACACTCCTACTAAGGTCAAGGTACAAGAGTTATGGTCAGGGCCAATGCTGTGGTGTAGCAGGTAAAGCCGCCACCTGTATTGCCAGCATCCTATATGGGTACCGGTTTGAGTCCCGGCTGCTCCACTTCTGATCCAGCTATGATCTGGGAAAGCAGTGGAAGATGGCCCAACTCTTTGGGCCCCTGTACCCACATGGGAGATCCAGAAAAAGCTCCTGGATCCTGCCTTCATCTTGGCCATTTGGGGAGTGAACCAGTGGATGGAATACCTCTCTTTCTGCCTCTGCCTCTTTGTAACTCTGCCTTTCAAATAAATCTTAAAAAAAAAAAAAAGTTGTGGTCATATTTCTGCCTCCTGGCTCAGGCTCTGACCTAAATGCAAACGCTCCCACTTCCTCATCTGTGCAGCCAGGACTCCCATGATGGCTCCCAACATGAGCTGACCATTCTTAAGCCTCATCTGAAGTCACCGAGTCCTATATTTAATTTTGACTGGTGTCTGCTAATCTTTGTGTCTTGGGCAGTGGGCCCCGTAAGGACCACCTACAGGTCCCCATCTTCTAGGCAATGGGACCGGAATTCTGGGAAATATTAAGACTGGAGACAGGATTTCTTGCCACTGAGGGGCTGAGGTTGTGTCAGGGTCTCCCTAATAGACCCATGCACACATGCCTGGGAAAAAGAGAGGCTCACACTGCTATCCTGGGGCTCACATACTGGACATGCACAACCTTAGGCTTGTGTGAGGCATTTGTGATCACGTGTGCACACCAGCATTCCAGACTACCTGCAGTAGACCGCATTCTTAGCAAAAGAGCACCTGCTGTCCTTGGAGGAAGCACTGTTGCTACAGAAACAAATGGGATTTCCAAAACACTCCTTTTCAGGAAGCACTCCTCCTTCACGTTCTGGGCGGGGGGTAAATATGGGACAGAAGCAGGCCTTATCAGTCCCTGCAGGACTGGAGGGTGGAGGTCAGCCTAGAACTTGCCAGAAGCCCCTCCTAGATGTCACTGGCCCACCAGGTCTCCTCAGAGAAGGTGTCAGATGGCCCCTAAAGCAGTCCTAGTTGGGCTTCAGTACATCCTGCCTGAGGCCACCTGTCAGGGCGCCTCCACCTCTCGGGTTTCTACACAGGAGTATGGAGCAGTCCCTGAGGCCACCACCTCCAGGCAGTCCTCCCTAGTACCCAGTCTGTCCAGTCCTCAGACTTTGGGGAGAAATGGGGTCTTGGGGGTCAAGGGTCACAAGGGTGGGCTGGGTCCCGGAAGCGGAAGCGTAGCGCACTTCCGGCGCGCAGCGGGCGGCCATGTTGGAGCAGCGGAGGCGGCGCAGAGGCGCGTCCTGGGTCCCCGCGGCGGCGCCGGTAGGTTGGAGCCGCGGGCCTAGCCGCGCCGCGGAGGTGCGGCCCGCGAGGCGTCAGGGCGGAGGGGCCAGGCGGCGGACTCTTCCCAGACCCGCGTCCTCCGCCGGCCTGGCCGAGATCCCCACCCCACCCCCACCCCGTGCCCAGCGACCCCACCCTGGGGCTGCGCGGTCCCGGTCGGGCTAGCACCGGCCGTCTCGCACATTTCGCTGCCGCCGTGAGCCGTGGCTCCCTTTCGCGGTTTCGGGCTCCAGGGATGCGGACTCCCGAGCCCGAGGGCCCCGGTCTACCGCCGCCCCTGGTCGGTCTCGATGGCGCTTCTCGACCCTGGCTTCCGTCTACTTTCCCAGCTGGTCCCCGGGGGCACGTGTGAAGGGAAGTCGGGGGCCCTGCTGTAGCCTGTTTCCGCAGCTTCTTGAAAGCCCAGAAGACCCCTCCTAAGGGTGCAGACTGGCTTGGGCAAAAGAGACCCCCAGGTCGTCCCCAGTATCTGCGCCGGGGGTTGGGGGTGGGCAGTAGGGTCCTCCCTATTCTACAGTTCACGGCCCTGGGAACTACACGCCCTGAAAATAAATAAATAAATAAAAACTAAAGTCATGTGCAAGGATTGTACTTGGAGAGCGGCCTCCGGGGAAGGGAAGTGCCTGAGACACCTGAGGATCCAAGAATGTTTCCAAACAAAGAGCCCCAGGGCACTTCCTCCGGGGGATTCCGAAGACTTCATCTGCTCCATTAGGGCAATGGGAAGAAGCTGCACAGCCGAGCCTCAGGGCCCCAGGGACCTGTCTCGCCCCAGCTGATCTTTTTTTAATGCTCCTGTGCAGCTGGGGAGCTGCCTCTTGCCTCGGAGAACCCTCAGATGCTGGGTTGGGTGTTTGGGGTTAGTGACGATTGATAGCCACAGCTATCAAAGAAGCCTGGGACAACAGGCTCTGTGGTCCTCCAGCCCTCTTGGGACATCTCAGAATTCTGAATGCCCACCTGACTCTCCATCCTACTTAGATGGCTCCCATTGTCTTCACATCTCGGGGTCTTGGTGTGGTTGCCTGGCCACTGGGCTGCCTGATTGCCTGGCGATATGTCATTGGCACTTGCTACTTGAGGCTGGCTGTTTCCCTGGGGAGCGGGTCTCCATGGCCGTAGAGCTAGGAATTGGGCTGCCGAGAGGTCTGTCCAGGGGATCGGAGAGCATCTTCCTTCACCCTTACATGTGAACACCTAGAACAGAGATGGGCATGAACAATTGTACCTTTTGACCAACAATTAAGACTTTTCATTGGCTTTCCCTCCTGTGTGTCTCCAGCGAGAACCCTCGTCCTGACCGCAGACTCCATACTAGGTGTGCCTTACTCTTACACTTCAGAGCCATTGCGTAGGTTGTCCTGCTTTTTGCTCTATTTCCATCACTCTTGTCCTGACTAGGTATTGCCTTTTCTGGGAATCCCTCCATGACCTGTTGGCAAGCAGAGCTGGGTGCCACTGTATGCTCCCACGAACCTTTTATGGTGGCTGTGTCTTGCCTTCCTCACTGGCCTCCTTGAGAACCGGGAGATTGACTTGTATTCCAGGGCTGAATCGAATACTAGGTTTTTGGTCTCAGAAAATGTGGAATTTAAATGGACCAGGACCAAGTCTTGCTAAGGTGACTGAGCTGGTTCTGAGCCTATGTCCTAAAGAAGCTGCCTGACCCATACCCCCACTCCTGAGTGTTAGAGGGTCGGAAGGCCAGGGAGTGACTCTCCCGGTGTCCTGGAGAACAGGGGTCCTGACTGATCTAACTGCTCTGGGCCTCTGTCTCGGTGCCATTCTTATTGACTCTTTTCCTCTTGCCTTGGAGGTGCCGAGCGCTGGTTTGCAGATACCCAGGCAGATCTGCAGTGCCTAATGCCATGAGCGTGGTGGTGCAGCATGTGGAGGAGAAAGCTGTGCACTCATGGTCGCGCATCTCCACGGCAGGAAAGAAGGCCCTGGAAGAGGCGCTGCTTGTCTTTAACCCCATGAGCCAGGATCTCAGTGCCACAGAGGCCCAGCTTGTGGCCTTCCTGCAGGGCCTGCGAGATGATGGCTTCCAACCTACCATTCTGCGCAGTGGTGATGTCTATGGCTATAGTTCATGCACAGCCAACCCCCCAAGCCAGACGAAGCTGCAGGCTCGTGCCCCCAACCCAGCCACCACATCACCTCCAGCCAGTGCTCCCCAGACTGCAATGCGGCTGCCTGCAGGCCGGGCCACGCTGCTGCCCATGTCGCTGTCTGGCAGGCTGGCCAAAGCGTCTACACCAGCCCTCACCAAGCATGCTACCACCAACCTGCTGCTGAGCTCTCTGAAGCAGTCAAGTGCCAGCCGTGCCCGGGGTGCGACAGTGGGCTTCCCTGCCCACCTCTATCCAGGTGTCTACCCTGCCATGCGGCTCTCTGTTGTCCTTGAGGCCCTGGTTCCACTCAAGACTCCCATGCCCTGCTTGGGTGCTAAGCACAAGGCACAGTCACTACAGCTCTCACTTGCGGACTCACCTATAAAACTGCGCAAAGGTTCAGGGAAGGCTCCAGGGAACCCCCGGCCCAGAACTCCCAGAAAAACCACAAGCAAGGGCCCCAAGTGTCTGACTCACAAAGGCTCTGGGGCTGGACCCCAACGAGGCACCGGGCCCCACAGCAAGACCTACAGAGCCACTGGGTCCCTCAATGGTCTGCGAATGAAAGGGGGCTCTGCCTTGGGCATCAAAACAGACCAGGCGAAGGTAGATCGAACACTGGCCAAAGCTGCTGGTGCCCAGGCCAAGGTGGCTCGAACACAGGCCAAGGCTGCCAAGGTCCGGGCCAAAGCCAAAGCTGCCAAAGCCCGGGCCAAGGCTAAGGCAGCACAGATTAAGGCCAAGGCAATGGCAGCACGGGCCAGGGCCAAGGCCAAGGCCAAGGCTGCTCAGGCCAGGGCCAAGGCCAAGGTGGCTCGGACCCAACCCAGGGGCAGAGGCAGGCCAAAGGGGTCTGTTCAGGCCAGGACTGCAAGAAAGAGCCAGAAAAGCCACCCTGAGACTGTCGGGCAGAAGAGGAAAAGGGCTGAGGAGGCAAAGGATCTTCCTCCCAAGAAGAGAACACGACTTGGGCCCCGATCTCCTAAGGCATGGCTAGGTCCTGCGACAGCAAAGCTGCTGAAATTCTGGGCCATAAAGGTAGACAGGAAGTCCTCGGATGATGAGGTGCGGCAGTGGGCTCAACAGATCCTCCGTGTGAACCTGTCTCCTGTAATACGGCTCCAACCGTTGCTGCCATACTCCACGCCCTGATTGTTTGATGCAGTGGTGTTTGGGGAAAAAGCCCAGCTGTCTGTGTGGCCAGTGGCACAGTGTGCCATGCCTGTGGACTCCACAACCTTGAGGACTCCGGGTACCTCTCCAGGGCCCTGGCAGCCACCAGCCTCCTTTCAAAAACTGGAGGACACAAGGGGTGGGGTGGGTGGGCGGGAGGGGTGTTCTCATGGCGCGATGCACTGTGACTTGTTCTTCAAGTTGTATGCCCACTGTTCCATCTATCACGTTTTATACCTTTCCACCTTCCAGTCTCCTTGCCCGCACTCCGTGGGGGGTGTGTGTGTGTGTTTGGTTGCTGGCAGGCATATAGGGAAGGCGGCCCCAGAAATAGTTGTACCCTGGGACAGGTCATCAGTGTGAGTGATACAGTGGGATTGTGGGAGAGGGATGCTCCCAGGGCCCTGTGGAGAGAAGAGGGCAAGTCCTGTAGGCTTTCTGTGTGAGAAGCATCCCCTCAGGGCAGAGGCAGAGGTGCTGTGAGGTCAGATACCCCTCTTTGAGGCTGCCTTGTTTTTTTCTTCATCCAGACAAGCCCCAGGTAGGACAGTGGGCAGCTTAGTGGGGAACCTTAATGACTATCAGGTTTTTAGGCCAGGGAAGGAAGCCTGTTGCTCCCCAGGGGCCTAACAGACAATCCGGCCTTGTGTACCGGGAAGCCCTGGATGAAACTTTGAGGCTTTGCTTGGGGTTGTCTAGAGAAGGGCCAGGCCCTAAAGGGGTTGAGGTACCTCCCTCTGCTCTCCTAGAAGAATGTGAGTAGCCCCAACTTCAGTTGGTGACAAGAGATGTGGGAAAGATGTTGAGTAAGGACCACAAAACCTAACCTCACTGACTGACCAAAGATTTGTTTCCCTGATTGGGTAAGATATCTGTGTTGGTAGATCCAGAAAGCTTCCATCGCTGCCTCATGAACAGTGCTTTGTGCCTGGATTCCAAGTGCTCTGTCTACTTGAAGATCCATCACACCTTCCAAGATGGGCTTGTGCATTTCAGGTGTTGTTAGCCCTTTGCTTTGGAGAGGGGGCTGGGCCCGGAGCAGAACTGGCTGCCCCGCCCGTCAGCGTCGCTGGCTGCCCAGGCTGAATGCCAGTGGCTGAGATGGGAGGGGGGAGGACCCATTCCCAGGGTTCCTGGAGACAGCCTCTCAGTGTAAGGAGCATCACTGCGGCTAGGATCAGATTGGGTCCGTCTGGGCCCTGCGCTTGCGGGGAGTCTGCGTGCTGCTTGCTGGTCCTCACCCTTTCTTTTGCTTGTGGGGGCTGCTGTAAACACCTCTTGTTTTTTGTTTTTTGTTTTTTAATATTTATTTGTTTGACAGAAGAGACAGATATCTTCCATCTGCTGGTTTACCAGGGAGAAGCCAGGAACCTGGAACTCCATCCAGTTCTCCTACTTGGGTGACAGAGATCCAAGTAGTTGGACCATCTTCTGCCAGCTTCCCAGGCATGTTGGCAGGGAGCTGGATAAGAAGAGGAACCAAACCAGCACTCATGGGATGCTGGCATTACACGTGGTGGCTTAGCTGCGACACCACAGTGTTGGCCCCTCTTTAAAAAAAAAAAAAAGAATTGTGGGCTGCCACATAGCGGGTTAAGCCTGTCTGCAGTACTCATTTGAGTCCTGACTGCTCTACTTTCAATCCAGTTCCCTGCTAATGCGCCTGGGAAAGCAGCAGAGGATGGCCCAAGTGCTTAGGCCCCTGCACCCATGTGGGAGACAAGGATGAAGCTCCTGGCTCCTGGCTTCTGCTTGGCCCAGCCCTGGCCATTGCGTGCATTTAGGAAATGAAGCAGCAGATAGAAGATCTCTCTCTCCCTCCTAATTCTGCCTTTCAAATAAAAAAAAAAAAAAAAAAAAAAAACACACACACACAGACCTGTATCATGGCATAGTGTAGCTACTGCCTGCAACGCTGGCATCCCATGTAAGTGCCAGTTCCAGTCCTGGCTGTACCACTTCCAATCCAGCTCCCTGCTAATGTACCTGGGTATGCTGCGTGATGATGGCCCAAGTACTTGGACCCCTGGATCCATGTGGGAGACCTGGATGAAGCTCCTGGTTGCTGGCTCTGGTCTGACCCAGCCCTGGCCATTGCAGCCATCTGAGGAATGAACCAGCAGATGGAAGACCTCTCCCTGTGTTGCAGGAAGAGTAGGAGAGGAGGAGACAGTTCTTGGATCTGCTGGTTCACTCCTCAAAGGGCTGTAGTGGTCGGGGCTGGGCCAGGCCAAAGCTGAGTCACCCAGGTGGGTGGCAGGCTTGGGCCATCCTCTGCTCCTTTCCCAGGCACATTAGCCGAAAGCTGTGGTTAGCATTGCTACCCCAAGTGCATCTTCCCTCGTTGCCCGATCTCAAGGGCACCTTACTCCCAGCTGTACCGTGTGGGGAGCAACTGGGAGCAACTCGGACTAGACTAAGTTACTGGAATTAAGACTTACTCTATACATCTGCTCTCCCACAATATGGCGCTGGGAGAGGAGGAAACAGCTTCTACACAGCTGCCTCCAGTTCAACCAATAAGCAGCAGGACCTGCTCCTGATTGGAGAAGAGCAGCGTACTTGGCGTGTGGGTAGCAGAGTTGGGATTGGTGGAAGAGGACTATAAAGGAGGAGAGAGACAACATGCATCAGGGAACATCTAAGAGGAACACCTGTGCAGCCCCCTAGAGAGCCGGCCGGCGGTGTGCCGCTCCCCTGCGGAAGTGGGGAAAGTGGCCGGGGGGAACCGCCCTTCCACAGAGGTGGAAGGGACAGTAGCCAACCCGGGAAGAACCAGCAGCAAACCCGGGGAGGGCCGAGCAGACGAAAGAACAGCGCAGGGTCCTGTGTCGTTCCTCCACGAAGACGGGGAGTGACATACCGTGGCCCCACGACCCTGCATGCTGCTTGCCTCTGGCAGCTCTGCTTTCATCCACCGTGTGAGGTGATGGAGTGACTTGAGGGCCACTCAGACCCTCAAGGGTTGTCCAGCTTAGAGCTCGCTGTGTTCTCTCTCAGGTCTAATTCCAGCTCTCAGTGCCCAGGACTGCTTGCCAGGTTGTGCACCCTCTTTCCAGTTGCTGCTGTCTCCAGTAATGAGTGAGGTATGGCTTTTCCCCAGAAAGCCAGCCAGAAGGGGAGGAGAAATCAGGACTCAGAATTGCTGCTTCTATGACTCAACACCAGAGAGTGTATGGCACTGAGGTTGTAATCTCCCAGAGTGGCCCTGGTGACAACATCCCTATGGCGTCCCGGTGTGGTGGGGCATGTCTCTAGGGTGTTTGCTCAGACCCTGTCATTCCCAGTCCAGGGTCCTGGGACAATTGCTCAGGAGTTGCTAGATGTGTTTCTTTTGCCTGGCCACTCAAGTAGCAGTTGCCTACCCATCAGCAACCTGACTGTTGACTATGGCCAGAGCCTTTGAACTTGATCCACCTGTGGCCTCTATGGCCCTGAACCCTATTACAGTATCAGTTGCTTGTAGCTGGGGAGGAGGCTGCTATTTTTGGGTTATAGGAATGGCGCCTTTAGGGTGTCATGGGCAAGTTCAACACGGGTGGGGGAGGGACTGGGTTATTGCTGGGGAACTGGAGGGGGCGTCATGTGCTCTGAAATTTTGGAGTAAGAGGCTGGCCATTCCTAGTTGGTCCTCTTGACCCCTTCCCCAGGACTCAGAATGGCTTCTATTTCTATACCTCTTGGGACCAGAGAGGATATGACTTTTTTTTTTTTTTTTTTTGGACAGGCAGAGTTAGATAGAGACAGAGAGAAAGGTCTTCCTTTTCTGTTGGTTCAAACCACCCCCCCCCCACAAATGGCCGCTACAGCTGGCGTGCTGTGCCGATCCAAAGCCAAGAGCCAGGTGCTTCCTCCTGGTCTCCCATGCGGGTGCAAGGCCCAAGCACTTGGGCCATCCTCCACTGCCCTCCTGGGCCACAGCAGAGAGCTGGACTGGAAGAGGAGCAACCAGGACAGAATCTGGCGCCCCAACCGGTACTAGAACCCGGGGTACCGGCGCCACAGGCGGAGGATTAGCCAAGTGAGCCACGGTGCCTACCAAGGATTTGACTTAGAGGATGTGATCTCGAGTGGCCCTGGGAGCGACAAGAACTGGTGACAGGCAGAGCGGTGAAGGTGCCAGTATATCCATATGTATGGATATGAATGTGGGATCTGGAGAGACAGCTGGGTCACTGACAACGCCTTGCTGCAGGTGTTAGGAATGTCACCATCCAGCTGCTTACTGCTTTACCCAACTCGTCATGACTTTAAGGGTGTCCCTAGTGCCCTAGCCTGCAGCTTACTTGGCAAATGCCGGCCCTGTGCCCTCCTGCCCAGTGATCTCCAATGAGGTTCATCCCTTGTGACCAGTGGCCCCACCTGTCCCGACATCCCACCCAGCAGTGGGCCAAGGCTGCTGCTGGCTGGTGTCCTGATGCTTTGCCCACAACTGCTCAAGCCTCTTCCCCAGGAGGCCTACTGCCCCAGCAAGGGATCAGTGACCTCGGCTGTGACCAGTGTTCTTGGACATCGAGCCTTCTACTGAGGGCAAGGGCAGGCCTAAGGAGAAGGGAGTTCAGGCCCTGGGGTGAAACTGGAGACTGAAACCTTCTTCCTTTCAGGTAGTTTTCTTTTTTTTTTTTTTTTTCTTTTGACAGGCAGAGTGGACAGTGAGAGAGAGAGACAGAGAGAAAGGTCTTCCTTTGCCGTTGGTTCACCCTCCAATGGCCGCCGCGGCCAGCGCGCTGCGGCCGGCGCACCGCGCTAATCCGATGGCAGGAGCCAGGAGCCAGGTGCTTTTCCTGGTCTCCCATGGGGTGCAGGGCCCAAGCACCTGGGCCATCCTCCACTGCACTCCCTGGCCACAGCAGAGGGCTGGCCTGGAAGAGGGGCAACCGGGACAGAATCCGGCGCCCCTACCGGGACTAGAACCCGGTGTGCCGGCGCCGCTAGGCGGAGGATTAGCCCAGTGAGCCGCGGCGCCGGCCTCAGGTAGTTTTCAAAGTTCTCGACCCAGCCATTTTGGTGGGTGACCCAAACAGACCTGCGATTGAAGGTAATCGTCCCCACAACCAGTCCTGTACCCTTTGGCAAGACAGCCAGACACTCACTGAATGGGAGGTGAGGCAGTGCTTTGAGGTCTGCACTGGCAGGACAGGCAGGGAGGCCAGCTCAGTGTCCCGGTTATTCCCCAACTCTGTCCCATCATTGTCCTTAAAAAAAAAAAAAAAAAAAAACCTTATTTATCTACTTGAAAGAGTGACAGAAAGACACTGAGATGTTCAATTCCACTCGTTCACTCCACAAATGCCCTATGGCCTGGGCTAGGCCAAGCCAACAGCAGGAGCCTAGGACTCCAACCAGGTGTCCCATGTGGGTGGCAGGAACTCAGGCACTCGGGCCATCGCTGATGCCTTCCAGGATGCATTAGCATGAAGATGGATCTGCAGCAGAGCAGCTGGGACTCGCATTGGCACTCAAATATGGGATCCCAGTGTTGCAAGCACCCGCTTAATACACCGTGGCACGGTTCATCATAGTCCTTTTTTTTTTTTTTTTTTTTTGGTCCTTTGGTGGCCTCCTATCACTGTTGTTCATCCTGTCCATCCTGTGCCCAGAGCATAGGAACTAACAAGGGGAGCAGTCTCCATCTATTCCCTATCTCTGTCCCATCTCTGAACTGTTTTGTGAAGCCCCATCATATTTTCTCATTTCTGCCCCAAAGGATGCCCCCCATCTCTGATCCTGTCATTTCCCTTCATTATTCTCCTCCTTGAGGGCATCCTTCACTGCTTCTGTCATTGCGCACCTCAGCCATGACTCTGGTCTCAGTTGGTGCCCCTTGTCCGTGAGGCTACCTCTAGGTGGCACCAAGGCATCTTTGGATATGAACCCTTCTTTGCAAAGAAGTCTTGTCAAAGGACCAGACAGCCACGTGACCGTAACCCAGCAGGGCAGCCCAGAGCCAGTCCAGGAGGATACCAGGGCACACCCAAACCAGTAGGTGGAGCTTTTTCTCTCCATCTGCTGGGTGCTCCCTGCCGACCTTCACTGCAGGCACTACTAGCTGCTCACCCCGAGCCTTCCCAGTAGGTCTGCGATCTGCTGCTGCTTTTGCCTCTAATCAGGAAAGAGGGATGTCCGCAGCAGAGAGAGGGAGGAGGTAGCCACAGCTTGGCGAATGATTGAGGCTGCAGAGCAGAGCCACAGACCCATCTGCATCCATGTGTTCATTCGATGAGCACCCGTCGAGCTCCACTTCTGTCAGGCATCTGTTGGGCGATGTTTGATGGGGAACAGACAGACAAGGGATCTGTCTTCTTGGAGCTGACATGGAATATAGTTGGTAAATAAACAAATTACCCTATGTGAGTTGATTGAAAAGCAGACTTCTAGTTTGGATGATGGGCCAGGGAGTGGAATCCTTTACGGCGTTGGGGAAGCAGATTTCAAAAACCTGTAGATACCAGCATGCAGTGTCCAGGAAGTAGTGGGAAATGTAAGAACAATATCAGGGCTGATGAAAATGTATCCTCTGGCCGGCGCTGCAGCTCACTAAGCTAATCCTCCACCTGCAGCGCTGACACATCGGGTTCTAGTCCCGGTCGGAGTGCCGGATTCTGTCCCGGTTGCTCCTCTTCCAGGCCAGCTCTCTGCTGTGGCCTGGGAGTGCAGTGGAGGATGGCCCAGGTGCCTGGACCCTGCACCCGCATGGGAGACCAGGAGAAGCACCTGGCTCCTGGCTTCGGATCAGTGCGATACACCGGCCGCAGTGGCCACTGGGGGGTGAACCAATGGAAAAGGAAGACCTTTCTCTGTCTCTCTCACTGTCTGCTCTGCCTGTCAAAAATAAAAAATGTATCCTCAAGGAGGCTCTCCCCTCCCTGG